GAGCCCAGCTCCAAACTATCTCGCATTAAGGTAAAAACCCAATTTGCTTCGGTTTCAGAGAGCAGCCTGTGCTCCCCCTGGAACTGATCTCTTCTTCTTGGCAATAACCTGCTTCTGTGAGTGGTAACTGAATTAGTACCCAGTGGGATCTCAAGTGGCAGAAAACCAGGGCCTCTCGGGGGCAAAATACCACTGATAAGTTAACTGCTTTACCAAAAAAAGTGCTGGTGCTTGATAATGGCATGCTTCTATTCAGAACAAAAGGGAAGTATGGTAAGCTGCTGTTACAGCCTTCCTGGCAGCTCTGCTTATTCTCAGAGGAATAATGAACTTATTCATAGAATTCATACCTATGTAGGTGATCCTTTCCGAGGCCTATCTATTCTTCCTGTTAAGATGTACTTCCTCTGTACCTATTGCTATAGTTTAAGCCCATTGCATTGTGATCTGCCCACTGTGGAGGTAGGCCTGGATTCATCCTGTCTAAGCATTTAACTCATGGGTTTACAAAATTATGCATGGTGCAGAGAGTGTAAGTGGGGGTTGACTCTCCATCTCTTCCACAAGAAAGAACTAGGAGCCAGGTTCAAAGCTAATACAAGGGATTTGTTCTTCATGCCAGTTGGTTGACCTGTGGAACTCCTTGCCAAAGGATAGTGAAGACTTTTAAAGTTTGTATAGGTTCAAGGGGAAACTAGAAGTATCTGGAAGAAAGATTCACTGAGTGTTAACTTGCTGGACAAGCTACATCAGGCTCAGGAAACTGCCTGAGCTGAAAGCAGTTGGAGGCTGAGAATACTGAGGAATTATTTATGCTTGCCTTAGTACCTCTGCATCTGCACCGATTGCTGTAGAATATAGGATACTTGAGCTGGGTACAGCACTGGCATGAAGCAGCATGGCTGTTAGTGTTTTTGTATAGTGTCTGTAGGACACTAGGGCATTGGTCCCTTTATCCATGGGGAGAGCAGGAGTTTTCAGACAGCAGTGTGTTTCCCAGGATAGTCTCTCAGTGAAATGCTCTAAGGTAAGAGGAATGAATTCAGACTAAATCTTTTTTCTCTGCTGGATCACTGATTCAGTGGTGCAAGTATGATTTTTGTCAGGCATGCTGGTGACATACAAGCAGCAGCAAAAACCCACTAATGAGCATGGTATAAGATGCTGTATTCCTCTGCTCCCTCAAATAGCTAGATTAACTGTGTGTTTTCATATATCCTGGAATGTGGTCAATAGCAAACCAGGGAGTGCACTGATTTTTAGCAAAACACTTCAGCAACTTACACAGGAATATTATGTAGCAAGTTCTAAAGTGCTTTTCTGCTCTTTCCCATCCAAGTGATTTTTCACGGTGTATTTGGTAAGGAGTTATTAACTGCAAACAGATTTAAGTGCTGAGGACTCCCTAGATCTAAACCGATGCTTGTCATTCAAATGCCCCAACATGAATCAAGTACAAATGTGAATGTTCACAGCCAGTGCAGTTCATTTGGTAACAAGCATGCATTTAGCATTACACAAAACACAGCCGTCTACCCCTTGACAGTCCTTGCTTGTCCTGGTATTTTGAGGGAGAAGGGGGAGGACGTTTATCCTTGATGGTGAACTTTAAAAGTATATTTTCTTTTTAAATGTCAACCTATTCCTTCTCCATGTGTGTTTCAAAAATGTCTCTGACACTTTGGCTCGATACCCAGGTATTCCAGCTGTTATTCTAAGATGGTGGAAATTAAAGTTCTGTTGACTTCACTGGAGCTTTGCCAGTTTTCCTCAGAGGAAGATTTGGTTTCAGAATGTTTTGTGGAACCTAGATCTGACACATGCACTGCAGGCACTGTGGGTGCTGGGTAGTAGCTGTCTGATGCCAGTAGCTGGAGTGATTAGGGAGGGGGAATTCCACTGCGTAGCAAGGGTTGTGGTTCCCACCTTTGATCTCATATGGAAATGAAATGTTCAGACTGTCTTTTGCAAAGGTGGAACTGTGTCAGACTGTCCTTTTCTAACCCAGAATGATGTGCTAAAGGGTTGGGAGTGTGGTCTACTTGGTCTACTCCAAGATGATTAGGGAGGGGGAATTCCACTGCGTAGCAAGGGTTGTGGTTCCCACCTTTGATCTCATATGGAAATGAAATGTTCAGACTGTCTTTTGCAAAGGTGGAACTGTGTCAGACTGTCCTTTTCTAACCCAGAATGATGTGCTAAAGGGTTGGGAGTGTGGTCTACTTGGTCTACTCCAAGTAGACTCGTACAGCCCTGATCACTCTGAGCACAGCAGAGCAGAGGTTTGAACCTTGGCCTCCTGAATTCCCTGTTGTTGCCATAGTCTCAGGTCACCACAGCCTGAAAGCATCTCACTCTCACAGGATAGACCTAAACAAATACCTTGACTTACTTAGTAAAATTGAAGTGCTGCTTTTTTCACACTCGGAGAGGGAGTCAGTGCCCAAAACTTTCCCTGCTTTTTCCAACTGTATCATCTCTCCTATTAAAAGTTACTGTGTGTCCTTCAAAATTTTCTATCCTTTAACTATAACACCTCTAGTAGTACTACCACCAAAAAAAAAAAAAATCATAATCACCAATTGTTCCAGCAAGCACAAAGCAGCAGAACTAACGTAGGTTTCATGTGCACAAGAACCTGGGCATATAAGTAATGAATCCATTTGTAAGGGTATCTGCTGAACTCCATGAATTGACTTTATTTAGTTGTCTCTGTGCATAATTCTGCTGCAGACACTGAAGTTAATGGTAAATCTCCCATGGATTTCAGTGTGTGCAGGTTGGGGCCCTCATATATTAAGGGCTTATCATTGCAAATTTGCTGAAAGCACCAAACCCTCACAGCTCCTGTGTGCCTCATCTTCAGTCCTGCAGAGACATCATAATACCATGTTTGTGATAGCAGAGTCATTCCCATGGCAACAAATGGAGTCAGAAATACAAGATTCTGACCTTGCTGTGTGATCAAACAAAACAGAGAAGCTGGGCAGCAAAGACAAAAGTTCATCAAACACAAATGCCTGTAAACCCAGCAAGCAGGTGGGAGAGAAGCAGCAAATAAAGACAAAATATTTCTCCTTCTCTGAAGTTCTGCCCCCAGGCAAATGTCCCTCCCTTTCTAATATTAGGATCTGCTAGGGTTAGCCTGAGTATCTTACCCTGCAGAAAGCTCCAAGGAGAGCAAACGATAGCTTGTTAATAAAGCCATTTCACATAATTCTTTCTGGAGGATGAGCTTTGAAAAGCAATACTATTTTACAGCTCCTTCCAGCAGATCTGAAAACAAGGCACTTAATAAATAACATTGCAATCTCATCCCATTTCTTAGAGTTGCATTAATAGTCTTTGCTTTAGAGATCATGGCAGAGTCAGTGACCTGCTCTGAATCAAATGCTGGATTGGTAAAAGAATTGGGGTAGGAACAACATGAGTGGCTAATTGGCAGTATGGTCATCGTAGGAAGCCAATGACAAACGTAAGCAGCCATAAGACACCTGCTCCCTGGGCTGTGGTGGGAACAGAGGTGAGGCACAACTGGAAAAGCCCACTATTTCCCACCAGTTCATAGGCAGAAGGAGATAACTGGGAAGACAGGTGTTGCAGCTGGTCTGGCAATGAAAGAATAGTTTCAGATTGAAGTAGCTTTCAAAACCAATGCTAAAGGATTGACAGCTGTAAAGCAAAAGTTTTAGGTGCTGCTAGGAAGACTGGCAGTCCTTCTCACAACTGTGTCAGTGAGAGGTGGACTTCTAATTCACAGTTTGAGTTTGTGAGAACATTTTTGAGACTTCCAGCCATAATGAACTATTGAACAGTCAATCACAGGATCCTACCCTTTAACAACATCAGCATTAAGTCTTACTACATCTTAGTGGTAGAAGAAAGAGCATGGTTTGAATTGTTCCAAGGCAGAGGTAACTCTAATCTGATCTTCCACCAACAGAACTACACCTGTTAATACATACAAACAAACTTGTCCGTGGCTTCTGGAACCTGGAGAGGGCCTTTTTCCTTATAGATGGGACACTATAATAAATATATTTTTCATATTGCTACATATTATGGATGCAATGGAGAATTAAGAATGAGAAATGCTCAATGAAAAAGAAGCTGTCAGTGACAGTCCATTGGTTTATACTGATTACTCCAAGGAGTGGCTGTTTCATGGCATTGCAGAGACAAGCCCAGAAGGCTCTGACCAAGAGTTGTGGCTGCTGCCCTTATGCATAACGGTTTTAGCATTGACTATAAACACAGAAGCTACTCTAGATTTGCACCAGCATAAAGAAAAGTGTAATGGGACTTCTTTGTATGTCCCTCCCGTGGCTGCTCAGCAATTAATGTGACTTTAATGTCTTCTTCACTGTCAGTGTTGTGTTTTCTGTCATTCTCTTGCATCACATAAAAGTTTAAGACGGGCCTGGTGAGGTACAAAAGGTATTGAGGCAGGCTGCACTGCAGGGCCTTTTTTCTGACCTCCAGCCTCATGGACCCCAAAGTCAGGATCCAAAGAGCGTGTTGCAGCTGGGGAGATGACTGTGAGCCGGATGAGCTGCAAACGAAGCTCCTTTCTGCTGATGGAGAGCAGAAGGCTGGCTCCTCTCTGCCAGGCATCAGCACTCTCATTTTACTGACAGGAGTGGTACTAACGCAGACCTTCTGTGCCATATGCTGACTGTGAGGAGACCAGTCGGCAGCTTTGGCATGAGCATTTGTAACCACCACTTTGTAATTGGAAAATGGACTTGGAAGCAATTGTTCTGCTAGAAAGTCAGCAGCGTTTTCCTGCTAGAAGACAACAGTTTGCAGCAGGGAATTCTTTAAGAGAGTGAAATAGAAATGGTTTAAGCACCAGCTTCAGTCAGCTGCAGCATACCAAGCACCCAGGCTGGATCCCAGGGCACGTTGGGTTGTTCTGCCCAAACCTGGCAGTTTGATGTTGAAATGCACCTCCCCAGGTCTTTATTTTTCTGAGTTGCTCTTCGGTTTGTGTCTTTCAGAAGCGCTCTGGAGGCATTTGCTCATTCCTGCATCGAGTGTGCTGGGCAGCACTACCGTTGCAGCTGCTCCTCTTGCTCCTCCTGCTCCTGGCCTTCCTCCTGCCCCTGGCAGAGGAGACCCACAGCTGCACGCTGGCCAACAACTTTGCTCGGTCCTTCAACCTGATGCTGAGATACGAGGGCCCACCTCCAACTTAACTTCTTGGCGTGGCACGAGGTGACTCTCAGAAATATAGACTCTTTTTTTTTTTAACAGTTGCAAGTATTGTAGATTTTAGGGCTTCTAACAAGGCCATCATATCAACTGGATAGGTGACATAAATGCGACATAAGATTAATCCACTTTAATCAGGTATTTGAGCAAATTTAATATTTTTACAATATTTTATTATAATATTTATAATGTGTACATAGAGATTGTGTATGTGTATGTATGTACATATATATATATAAAAAAATGCATATCTGTGGTCAAACTAACATCCACCATCCACTCATCCACTGTTTGGAGATAATCCTACAATGTTTCTGTTTCTACCATCTTTCAGCAAGGAATACTGAATGATGGTTCGGTTGTGGGGTTTTGGGGTGATTTTTAAAATCATTCTTGTTTACAACCGAAGTCAGAGCAAGTATGAGAAGATGTGGGCACGCAGCAGAGTGCAAACTGGAGAGCAGGTAGAGCAGAATCATGTTTGAATACAATGGTTGGCATTCAGCCCAAGGAAAATTGGGACTATTCTATTTGAAATCTTGAGCTGTTTTTTTCAGTATCTGGATGCAGGGATTGCAGAAGGTAATGGAAATGTTTCCACTGACTTCAGTAGGAGTGGGGGTGGGCCTCATCTTGTTCTCATTTTTTACCAGATTTCTCTTCCAATTACTGTGTTCTCCAGCCTACCTGAATCAGGAGAGGTAGAATACAGTAGGAAGAAAACTGGAAAAGAGAATATATTTTTTTTAACATCTCTATAGCAGGAGAACTTTTAAAATCAGGTCATAGTTTTCTGAACAAATTTGTGAGCACTGAACAAAACCTTGTATCAGTGGTCTTGTCTTTAAAAAGCAGTGGGGTTTTTTTGTTTGTGGTTTTTTGTGGTTTTTTTTTTTTTACTTTATAAAGAGGCATTTGGTAATGGATCATAAAGCCTGAACAGTGGGATGCAGCCTGGCTTAGTGTCAGCAAAGCAAAAGTCAGAAGTACTTTAATAATACCACCCTGGAAACAAGATTCCTTCCTAGGATGTTTTTATATTAATGGTTTGTTAAACTGATGTAAACTGATTGTATCAAAGACAGTCAAGCCTAGATTTCTATATAGTCTAAACTCTAAGATGATGACAACTTGTCATTTATTTACCTAACATTATGCCTGATTTATCAAATTTTTGAATGTACATTTTAACATTGCCTTTTAATGTAAAAACAATTCTCACTTTACTGTGATGAAACCATTCTTAGTGGTGTTTTACCTAATTGACTCCTGAGAGAAAAGGTAATTTCTAAAATTCTGTACCATTGCTGAGAGCTATATTTTATTTTCTTATCTTTTTAGCCACAGTAGTAATCATGCAAAAAAAATTTAACCGAAGAAATAGCTACTTTTCCCATCCTGGCTATTTTGTGGGAGGAACTTGTCTTCTGGGTACCAGTATGGTGTATTCAGTGTTGTTTTCCAAATAAGTTCCAAAATAATATTAAATCTGTTGTGCAGGTAAGTTATTTAGTAGCTGAGGGACTGAAGGAGGAACTCATACTTCTTCAACAGAACCATGAAAGTTTTGCTAAAGAAGCAAACTTGGGTAGAATAGGGAGGCGTAGCAGCAAGGAGCTCATTATAGGCACAGAATGAGGGAGAACAGGCAGATGTGAAAGAGGACTAGCTAAAGATAGAGAAGAGAGGTGTCAAACAATTTATAAAGCCCAAGAAAAGTAGTCACGATGAATGCAGAGGACAAGAATACAGGCTCTATGGAGGAAAAATCTCTGAATCTTTTTGGTTCCTTCTCCCTGCTACAGTATTGGTACTATTGCATATTAAACAGCTTTTCTCCAGTAAGGTTTAAAATGGGGCAAGTAACAAGGACTCTACCAGTGTTCTGAGGAGACTCTTCCACTGCCAGGACTCTGTCACTGTGTTCCTAATAATGCTTCCGACTACACTGGGTTTGCTAGAGTTGGATAAAAATGCCAAAATTCTACTAAAAGTGGAAAGGAGAGAGGAAATTAGAGGAAAGAGAGCAGGGATGGTGAAGGTATTCAGGTAGAGCGCAAGGGGAGTGTGCGGAGGATCTGAACTGATGTGGATTAAAACCTGACTGTCAGGAGGTAGCAGAAGAGCTCTAGAGAGCAGGCAGAGGGGGGCTGAAAGCAGAAAGGTGAGGAGAGAGGATGTATGCTGAGCGATAAGACATTCACATCTAAATGGGAAGCGAAGGAAGGTAAGGCCTGTGATTTCTTTCATGAAGGAGCCAGATGGAGAGGAGCTATAATTCATCAGAGAATGGGGCAAATTAATTCCTTGTTTGCAACGGTTCTTTCTGGTGGTGAAGGACGTACCTCCTTTTCTCCTTTGATTAGCTGTGCAAAAGCCATGCACGTTCCTGCAGTGCTCCTCTAAAAATTGCTGCCAGCCCTGAGGGAAGAAACCCTCGTGGCTGTGCAGCAAGGAGCTAATCATCACACACATCTCCATTTCAAATTAAATGCTCCAGCAGAAAAGAAGAGTGGGGGAAGAGGGGCAGTAACAAAACCTGCTGTGTGTGGCTGTGTATATGTGTACTTGTGCATGCACTTTTCTGTGGCGTAGCTACATTGCACTTCTCTGAGTTTTGCTGAGCCGTTCCAGGTGATGAAAGTAAAATGCCAGTGAGAAAGTAAAAATAACGAGGAAAAATATAGCCACAAGAGAAAATCAGTAGGGAGATAGACAAGTTTTTTCTATGAAAGCACAAAATCTCACATCAGATTTCTTTCTGCCCAGCCTTTCTGATCTGGATGATTTTTATGGGTTCACAAATGCATTTGACACCACAGGAGTATGCAACTGGGGGAAAAAATTTCTACACAGAGGACCATAACAGAACAACTGCATCGTCACCTTGATTTTACAGTGTTGTGGCAGGTTTAAAAAAACCACTAAATTAGAAACACACTTTTGCTGCTGGGTTTGCATTCAATTTATTCTATAAGTCCCCTGTCTGTAGTCTTGGCATTTTTTGCTTTAAATCTCAGCAAATCCATTCTCATTAATTTTGGTATCTAAATATCTCACATAAGTGATGAATCTTTCTACTTCTTCTCAACAGAAACTATCCAAAGCACAGGACTTTGATGTTCATTTCACTCAGAACAATTTCACTCTTCCATAATGTCATTGACCTCACCTGTCCAACGCAGGTGTGAGATTTTTCTAAGAAAGAAAGAATTTTTAAAAAATCACAGAAGTAAGCTTGAAATGTAAATCCAAAATTTACTTTCTTTTTTATTATCTTGTTTTTCTTCTGAAAAGTTTGTGATACTGATTCCTGGAAGTGTGTGTAAATATTAATCAAGTCAGTAATTGGAATAATGAAAACAAACTGCCCAGTTCAACTTCCAGGAAACTGTACAAAGCTCAGATTCCTCAAAACACAGACTAAATCATACTGGTTCCAAATCAGTCCTTAAAATTTGAGCACTGTTCTTCATGCCTGAATCTTTGCTCACACATGAGTTAGGGGTTACACCCTCACTTTTGCGCCTATAAAATCTCCAGCTTACATATCTCTGACATCCATACGTAACCCAGATGTGTTACAGCTCAGCTTTGGATTGGGGCTGCTGCCTTAAGACATCCCTTGCCAAAAACCTAGGATGCACAAAACAGGTAAGCATCCATGACTGAGGGCTTGAACTACTTCAACCCAGATCCAACCACTGTCAGAGTGTGCTAAAACCCTCTAAAATAGATTGAATATGTTTGAGCTTATAAGTTGTTTGTGCATCTGGCTCAGGCCACATAGCCTATACTGCATGCAGATACTCAGCCAGTTCACAGAGCAGAGCTCTAGTGCATCTCTCCAAGCTCTTTTGCCTGCACTGTTGGACCCAGTGTTTGATTGACCACATTAATGACCCTTCAGCGTTGAAGGCAAAATCCTGCACTCCAGTACCCATGCATTAAAGTAAGAATTCTGCACAGCCCCAAAGGCACGCTTCAAACCCAGCTTTGGAGTGAAAGCAAGCCTAATTTTTAAATTGTAATTGATTTTGTAGCCGGATGCTTTCAACAGAATTTTCCATGACTGCAATACAGCGAGGTAGAAAACTGCTATTGTGCCACATGTCTATTAATAGCCCTTTCTCTGATTCCAGCTAGCAATTTAGATTGTGTTAAATTTTGTTTATATATGCCCTCTCCAGAAATCTCTGTATGAAAAACATGTTCAGTTCTATGCACACACATTAAAAACGTATTCCCCTGTTAGCACAGAATCCCCAGAGCAATCATAATTTCTACCAAGTACTAGCTTATTTGCCCTGACTGAGATACTTACTAAATTCAAACATTTGGGACTGAAAAGAAAGCTACTAGCCTAACTAATGAAAACACCTGATGATCACTGAGCAATTTGGAGAGCTTTTAGAATGGCTTTCTGCTTCTCCTTAATCCTTTTCGTTGGGGTAGTCGAAGACCCCACAGAGAAGAAATGTCTCCAAAAAATGGTCATCACTAGATAAGCAGATGGTAATTGCTGCACGTTAGAAGAAATAGTATGTTCTCTTTAGTTGCTCTAGGACCTCAGGAGTTTCCTCCATCTGATCTCTTCTTCAGTATTAAATAGGAAATGTTTTATTTTGGTGTGTGTGCATACACATCTCATTAGCATGAGATTTGAAGAGTGAGTTCACATACAGGAATTCTTTTAAACTGTGTTGACAAGAGAGTAGTTTGTCTTCTTTTCTCAAGAAAAAATAAAACCACTGTATAGCAGAGATTCCCAGAGCAAACAAAACCTTTTGGAATAACTGAAGGTTACAGACTGAAATTAAACTGGAGAAATAGTTTTGCCTTTCAAGAAATGCTGGTATAAATACCCCAATAAAGATATCTTTGCCAGGCATCATGGGTGTCTTTCAGGTCATAGGTTATGTATCCAGCTGGCTGCAAGAACTGCTTTTGGAGACTTTACTATCCGTTGGACAGTATCAGTTGCTAGTCTGCAGCTGAAAACACATTTGCCCAATGAATTATATCAGCTTCTTCCAGAGTCGCTGGGGGTTGTCGAGGATATTCTTAGTAGTTCTCAGATCATTTACCTGCTCTGAGCCATCACAAGTTTATTGCATTAATCTATCTGTCAGCGGCTGGCAACTCTCAGAAACCAGTTTATTAAAATACTAAAGATATAACATTGTTAGTACAGACATCGCAATCATTCAGAAACCAATCTTATTATTTTTGCCATATTTAAATGTAATTATCTATTGGTTATACTGGGTTATAAACAGATTAGTCGTAGCTGTTGGGTAACTGCGGAATGTTTTAGGCACAAGGCTTTTTGACTTGCATATGTATGTTTAAGAATTGTGGGTTTGTTTTGCTCTTGCTCAATGGTAAAACAAAACAAAGATTCTTGAATGTAGCATTTTCCGAAAAAAAATATAAAGCAGGATGGAATAATCTGTCATACAGTTGATTTTTTAATTATCTCTTGTCTATCCAATTTAAAATACGGATATGTGTCTACCAGAGACGTATCAGTAGATCTGGAAAGAAAAGGAATATCTATCAGGAATATACCAATTCAAGCAGTAGCCTAAATGGCACCTTTGTTACCAAACCTACTTCAGCAATTGCCAGATTTAGCTCATTGTACCTGTGAGCTAACCACCATCCTCCTAGTAAACCATGGGTGAGATGAAACTGCACAGGTGAAGGTATAACATCTCAGTGAAAGCAGCAGGAGGCATTAGGTCTTCAAAAGGCAGCCTGATATCTCGATGCAAGAGATGCACGTGTAGGTTTGGCATCATGAGAGCAACCCAGGACTACCAACACAGGAACAAGGGTTTGCCGTTCTGCTCTGCCAGACAAAATTTTGACAGTGGCCGTCAGCACTGTCCAGTTTCACATCCCTGACTCTGGAAGGAGGCTCCCCTCAGGGTAATTCACTCTAGCTAAAATTTGAGTCTTGGGAGTGCTTTTTTCTTTTCATTAAATACAGAAGAAACTGCTAAATCAAACCCCTCAGTGACAGATGAATGGTAGGTGGTAGGCACTGGTGCTCCAGGAGAAAGTGCAGGAAATGCTATTGTAGACAGAAAGATAGTCATGAAGGTCTCTGTTCAGTCCTTAGGAATTAGAGATTCCTTGTAGAACTGAAGTAGGAGGCTTTCTGTTCCTTTGCAAGTAAATGCCAGCTGTTGCTTTTAGTCTTCGGGATTTTGGGGGTGAGCCTGTTCAGTGCCTTACTGAATGCTAGTGGCTTTCTGGCTTCAGAGCCGTTCACGGCAGCGAGTTCCACATCCTTCCTACAAGTTGTCTGAAAAAGGTATTCCCCAGAATTGGTTTTGAATCAGAAACCTTTTGTTTGGGGGTGGGGGTTGTTTGATTTTCCTTCTTTGGCCCCTGTGTGTTGAATCCAAGGAAGCAGAAAGACCAGCACTACCCTCTCCAGACCATGCTTTGACTTTCCTTCTCTTATCAGAGCAGAGGAGATTTGGCTTTGTCTCCTTCATAAAGTAAATTATCCCAGTCTTTTCTGCTTCTTTTCATGTTACAGTTCTTCCACGCTCTTGATCATTCCTGTCACCTTTCTCTTAACTGTTTCCAGTGCCAGTTCTTCCTCCATACGTAGAGCAAGAACTCTGGTCCTGTTTCAATAAATTGAAATTCAATAAATTTTTCCCCCGTTGCAGTTCCTCCTGCAGATGCTCTGCCTGTTTCTGCTGCCCCCTGTGTCAAAACGGCCTTCATCACTTCCTGAGGGGACTCTGGTCCTTGCCAGCTGTCTCTTCCAAGTCTCCTGGCCATGTCCTACTCTCATCTGCCTTGTGTTGGCTCAGGGACTGCCCTTAATATTCTCATCTGTAGATGGGAGTGCGAGGGTGTCACTTAACAAACAATTACTAGTAATGAAAGCCTTGCCATTAGCATTGTTCATAGCCTGCCCAGACCCTTTTCTTTTCTTCTCTCTAAGCAGGTTTTGATGGGTAATCCAATTACTGCATGCAGAAAATTGCCCTTTAATCAGCGCGGAGGGCCGGTGTTTCAGTTTCAGCTCTATTACCCTCACCTTGTCACTGCCTGTGCAAGCGCTCCCGTGTGCTGCTGGGCCCGGGGCTGGGCGCTTCAGGGTGTGTACCCTTGAGCTGCCGGGAGTGTTTGAATGTTGCTGTTACACACACTAATAAGCCAGGATCCTTTTTTTTGAGCTGGAAAAAGAAAGAAAGAAAAGGAAACTGGTCACTTCTAACAAACTGGTTTCACAACTCATTTATCAAGCCCTCTAGCAAACCATTTATTTTAGCTCCTTTTTGCTCCATCAAAAGCTGTATGTTAAAAGGGAGAGGTGAATTTTGAGAGGCTGGGAACTGAAGGCAGGCTGCAGTGCCACCCGCCCTCACCAGCGCTTTGCCGGGAGGCCTCCAGCTAGAATTCAGGGGTAGGAGCTGTTATTTTTCCTGAAGTGACTCCCGCCGTCAAAATCAAATTATTTCTTTTGTCAAGTCCAATAAGCATTGAACACCACAGGCTTGGTTTCACTACAGATATGAATGAATGCCTCTGTACGGTACTTTCCATTGCCATGAAATATATATATATATGTATATATTTGTAATGGGGAGTGTAATTATTGTTCTACTTAAAGAAAGGTGACATTCCACTTCAATGTAACTTTCAAGTGCAGCTTTTAAGAGAAACCGTGTCTTAAAGGGAAGCTGGAAGAGTTTAGAGGTATGTGTTTTAACGAGCTTTAATGAGCTTTAATAAGCTTTGAGTTAGGGCTTCAGTCTCTAAGGCAAAAAGCACCCAAGATGATTTTCCCATCACGTTCCCAGATCAGATCCTGTAAGAGTTTAACCTGGGAGTCACTGCTTGATCACAGGCTATTCCTGAAGGTATTTGGATGCTGCATGTACTACATGTCTGTCTGTTCTCGAATGCCAGCCTCCATTTCGTACATGTGCTTGACTGGAAGGCAAAAGACACACCTTTGGCTTGCTCCGAGACCCTGACTGTCATTTTTGTCTCAGCGGATGTATTCCTTTTGATCAGTGCCACTCTTTCAAGTTTTTTTTCCTTTTAATTTGTACTTATTCAGTTTATCAGGTGATTCCCGGAGGGCATACTCCACCTGCCCAGCCTCAGAGCTTCCCTTCCAGCAACGTACCTTCTTCTCATTTGTTTACTCGGGTGTACTGGACCACTGTGAAGCAATTACACAAGCAATAATGCAGGTGTTGCATTTTTCTGTCATTGCCTTTTGTAAGATGTAACACTCCATTGACATTGAAAAGTGGTAGGAGACCCAGAAGCTGCACTGTTGTTTACTAGCAATATAACCAATGTACAGTGCTTCTACAGGGGACCTGTCCTCACTTCTTAAAGCAGCTGGCTGTCTCGGGCCCAATTTAATTCACAAGGCTGGATTATAAACAATCTTGGATCCCTTCAACAACACTCCATCAATCTTGTTTCCATCAGTTTTTGTGCTTTTGTTTAGTTTCAAGCTAGAAGAAAGTTTAAAGAAATGTGCTAAGACTCCCGTATAGGGTGAGTAAATATCCCATATATTTCACAAAAATTACAACAAAACGAAGGGATTTACTCTCACATTGAATAGATTAATAAGAAGTTCTAATTGATGCATAAAAGTTATAAAGAACAGCCTGGAATGAAGTTTCTGCAATCAAACCGTTCTCTGCTTTTAATTTAAAAATCAGCAAATTTTGAGGTACATTTTGCCACCTTCTTTTAGAAGTGACCTGGAGCTAAAACGTGAATCCTCCCAAATGGGAGGTTTATTGATGCGGATCTAAATTTCACCAGTATGCCCCTTGTTAGATCACCCGCCTCTGGGCAGAGAGGAAACCTAAGGCTGTTCACAAGAGAAACTCATATTGTGAATGGTTTTAAAATTCTTCAGAGCTCCCATCCACTTCCAAATGTTGGTAATGGGGAGGATCAGAAACCTTCCCGTGAACCCTGTGGATTTTGCATGTTGAAATCCTGGCTTGAATTCAGGTCTCCACCTCAGCTTCTTGTAAATGTTAATATTCAAGTAGAACAAAAAAGTTAGAGGCAATTACAGCATGAACATCTCTTCTTGTTTATGTATAGTAGCTGATAGCAGAGTCTGTAATAATAATCTGTGTTTATACATGTGCTGTTCAATGTAACAGTTGGGTACAAAATACCTTTTAACTGTCACAAGAAAATAACTGGATTGATGTCACTTTTTGCTTGTATGAATATAATTATT